TTTTTTATTATTTTCTTTTTGCATTCCTTTAATTTTTATTTATTCAATTATTATATTTTTACTTGTAGGTTATTTCACTATCATTTCATTTCAGGTTTATTGTTGCTTAATATAATTGTTATTTTCAACTATTCTCTTTTTAATTATTCTTTTTTACTTGTTTCAGGGATTTCAAATCACTGTATATAGTAGACAATGGAAGTCCGAACTAGTGAAATTCATCACGAGACATTGTCAATCACCTTCAAATCATAATATGATATTACATACGGGGTGTTCCATTTGAAAAATCAAAGAAGCCGCTACTTTATAGTAGAAGCGACAACGCCGCTTCGTCTAAAATATTTTAGGCGTGTAGGTCATATTGACTTATGCATACTGCATACTTCAGGTTGATCCGTTGAATAGTTTGCCAAAAACGGATAATTAACGCTCATCATGAAAAGCCCTGTATAAGTTGACTAGTGGTCCTTGGCCTAAATTTGATATTGGCCAAACCGGAAGAACTATCTACAGAAGAATAAAAGATTTTTGAACCATTTTTGGCAGAGGGGCACATGTTCACTCACGATTGAGACGTATTGCATTTAAAAGAGAAAGGCTTAAAACTGAACATTTTTGAATGCTATATTTTCCGCTAATATTGATGTCATAATGTTTTCGCGAAATAGCTGTATTTTGAGGTTACATCTTAATGGACAAAATGTTTTGAAAGAGCCACCTGTGAAGGCTTTGAAAGAGCCGGCTCCAGGATGCAAATTGGACAAGTTACTTCTGCTGAACGAGGTACGTTCGTGACTACTATCTTTTTTTATTAATGGTGCAGGTAGCACTCTACCACCCGTGTTTATATTACCACGGATAAATTATAAGGAGCACATGTTGAATAATGGGCCTTCTGGAGCATTGGGTCTAGCCCTTACTTCGGGCTGATAAAGAGAACCCGGTTCTTTCATAGCACATGCCCCGCTCTTTCATACACATGTTGCTTTGAAAGAGTTGATTTTCCCTTTTTTTTAAGTTGCCATATTACTAATTTCTGTCAATGTATCTCATTTTATTTTGATTGGATAACCATGACTATTATACTAATTATTTAAAAAAAGCAATTTCATTCAATAACGATCACCTGACGTTAACTTTTTTATGTTTTCCAAAACTGGCTGTTTCATACACACTCTCCCCTACAATTCCATTATAATAGGCACTTAATTCTCAGAAATATTGAATTAAAATGAAAACATTGTTGTCAAGGTTGTGATTCTATATATTTCATAATAATTTTTTCTCATCTGTTTAATATAATTTCCGTACGCCACTGCAAAAGACAAATTAGGGCAAAAACGTCAGTCATTTCTAAGAAATTATTTCCTACTATTTTGGAATTAGAGTATAGTAATAGTCATTGGAATTCGAATTATTATAAAAACATGACACATAATTTATTTGAACAGTATCGTGACACCTGAAGATGCTATTGTATAGCGAAATCCGTGTCGCGGTTTTGTAAACTTTCAAATGAAAATCTCACTTTGAATTGTTTTTTTATGTATAATTATGTAATTGATTTCAGCAAACTTTTTGCTTCATGGCAACAGAGCTAAATAATTAAAACAATGCTCCGGACTGAAGCTTCTGAACGGAAAATTTACACCTTGCATGAACGGAAATCGCAATCATATTGTAAACGAGCTCCAGCTTGCGAGAAATCCCAATTTCCACGTATGATTACAAAAACGAAAAAGGAATGATCCGAAAGGTGGTGTGTATTTGTGAGGTGGCAGAAATAAATTTCCCCATAAGTAATTCCTGAGCATCTGCAGCGGAAAGGTATTATAAAAAGTGGCGTGATATATTAATATCTCATCTGCAGTCGCTGCAAGTTGACACAGCGGCCGAAAAGTTCGGTTAGAACTTGGGAAACTGAAACGTTTCTTTTAAAAACTCGCAGCTATGCTTGTAGAAAATGTGTCACAACGAAACTCCTCTTTTTTTCTGGGAGAATGAGAACTTTATGCTGATTAGATTTCTTTTTAGAAACTCATTTTCTACGGCTGATGCTTGACTCGTTTCATAACGAGCGTTGTATATTGTTTTTCTAATGAGTTTTTCGAATGCAATTA